CAATTAGGTTCCAATCCCAGAATACGTCAACCAAGCCAAACATACTTTTAATAGTGGAATAACTGGAATAACGATAGATCGGTCAACTGTTATTCTAGAATTATTAGATTCTGACCTTCTTCCTTCCGAAAAGACAACCAGACGAATTGCATGCGAAGCGAGTGCTTCAGTTTTTGGTGGCGCAGACTCTACTTCGGAAGTGCTTACAGTTAAGTCAGCCCACCCACCTTTGGGGGAGCCAATAGAGGCGCGGGGGTCCGCGCCTTTAAAGTCGGCGCGGACGTCCGCGCCTGTTTTGTAAGCCCAGCCGGAAGATAGTCGGGCCCGCCTCCGGCCCCGACCTGTCCTCTCCTTTCTCTCGCCCTCCGTACTGTGGCAAGCATATCACGACCATATCCACGGAGGGTCAGCGCGCCGCCATTGCGGCCCAATTTATCCGCCGCCCCTACGCAGAGTAGGCCAATATGGAGCTTACTGAATTCCCTGACGATTGCCTTCCTCCTGAGGTCAATTCGACTCGCGAGAGTCCCTTCTTGTCTCAATTAATGCGTGGGCAGCTCCAAGAGGCTATGCCTTCACCACAGGCAAGTCCACGAGAGACCCGCGGTCCGGAAGACGCACAGTCACATTTGCCTGTGATCGTGGAGGTAGACCAGGGCTCATACAAGCAAGGACCAGAAGCCAGCTGAACGGCAACGGTCTACAAGCTCCCGTATCACTGGATGCCAGTTTTCCATCAATGCGAAAGAGAGCCTTGATAAGTCGTACTGGTATATCAGGCATCGCCCAGGCGAGGAGAAGTCGGTCCACAACCATGAGCCCAGTCTGCACATTACAGCACATCCAGCTCATCGTGCCTCTCCTCAACTGACCAGTCAGCTATTGGGAACCTCGCAAGCGCCGGCATAGCACCAAAGGATATCCGGACATATATGCGCCAGAGCTCTCAGACTGCTCAAGGAGCGACACAGCAAGACATATATAACTGTATCGCACAGCGCAGACGAGAGCTTCTTGCTGGGCAGAGCACAATGCATGCCCTTGCCAATGAGCTTGACAACGAGGGGTTCCAAACCCGCATACAGCTTGACCATGACGGCCGAGTCACAGCGGTCTTATTCGCACACCCGGCGTCACTAGAATACCTCAACGCATACCCAGAATTACTACTTCTAGACTGCACATACAAGACGAACAAATATAAGATGCCACTGCTCGATATGATCGGCGTTGATGCCTGCCAACGGTCATTCTGTATTGCCTTTGCCTTTCTCAGTGGTGAAGATGAAGATGACTACATCTGGGCACTGGACCAACTCCAATCGATATACGAGTTATATGACATTCGCCAGCCATCCGTTATCCTTACAGATCGTTGCCTTGCCTGCATGAACGCAATTTCCCGGTGCTTTCCTGCGTCAAGGTCTCTGCTCTGCATCTGGCATGCGAACAAGGCGGTGCTTAGCTATTGCAAACCAGCATTCGACCGTGAGGATGAGAACTCTAACAGTGATGAGAAATGGGTTGAGTTCTTTGGGTATTGGCACTCAATCGTGAGCTCGAGAGATGAGGAGACATTCGATCAACAAGTTGAAGAGCTGGAGAAGCGCTTTGTACCACGATACGTCAAGGAGGTTAGCTACATACGGAAACCTGGTTGGACCCGTATAAGGAAAAGCTCGTCAAGGCCTGGGTTGATCAATATGCTCATTTCGGCAATGTGGCTACTTCCCGGGTGGAAGGCATCCACGCATTATTGAAGAGCCACCTTAAGAAGTCAACACTAGACCTCTTCGAAGCAACGAGGGCAATCAAGCAAGCTCTTCTCAACCAACTGGCCGAGCTACAAGCCAACCAAGCCAGGCAGCATATACGGATGCCAATTGAGCTCTCTGGAACCGTATATAGCACGGTACGTGGCTGGGTATCACACGAAGCCTTGCGACAGGTTGCAAAGCAACACAAGCGCCTCAACGAGAAAGACATCCCTGCTTGCACAGGCAGCTTCACCAAGTCTCACGGTCTCCCTTGTGCGCACACATTACAGCCGCTCATAGAGGAAGATCTGCCACTCCGGCCACAACATTTTCATACGCATTGGCGCCTTCGACGGGATACCAAAGAGATTGGTCAGGTCCTCATAGAGCCTCGTCGGCGATTGGACCAACTTGTCGCCACATCGAGGATAACACAGTCATCCACACAGCGCGAGCCAAGTGCATTTGAAGCCATAGAGCCAGTTCTACGGCCAAAGGCGCCACCTACATGCAGCAAATGCCACCAGAAAGGGCACATCATGACATCTCGCAATTGTCCTTTACGCTATAGCGACATACTGCAGCGGGCAGAGGCACGGGCGGCAGAGACTGCAGAGACGGCAGCAATTGCAGCGACTGCACAGACTGCACAGACTGCACAAGCAGTAGCAATTTCAGAGACTGCACAGACTGCAGCAGTCATGGAGACAATCACGGTTGCAGTCACTACAGTCTCTACGGTGTCTACAATTGCTGCAGTCTCGACAGGAATTGCAGAAGCTACAGAGACTACGGAGAATCTACGATATGATGACCCACGAGCCATCTATCAGAGGTATGTCAGGGCAAGAGACTCTTGGTATAGAGCACAGCCTCGCGGCAATCTCAAGACCAACCAGGCATACCGAAAGGCAATGGGCTTGCCATTGCGCTACAGCAAGACTGAATATGACTGGTGCCTCGACTGGAAGCAAATGTCAAGGAGCTGCGGCTCGAGGAAATGGACCAAGGAAGAGATGATGGCATACCTTGATTGGGATAAGGCAGAAGAAGAGCGGTTAGATGCCCGGGTGGCCGAGGAAATGCAAGCGCAGCCTTTCTCACGAGAAAGAGGTACTGCAGGTATATGGGCTGACTGCGAGAGAGACTCGGAGGAACAGCAGGCAAACTATTCCCGCATATAAGTCGTCTGCTAGGACCGGTCTGTATAAGTGCGCCACAGTTGGAAACCACAGCAATTCTAGATTAAAAAATTTGAGTCGATTGACACTCAAATTGACGCTGTGGCCGTTGAGTACTTTTGCCGATGTGCGGGAGATATGTGCAGTAAAACTGGCGCGCCAGCGCGGTCGCGGCGGGCGCTGTTCGCGGCGCCCACAATGGCCAGCCGGGCTTACATAACAGGCGCGGACGTCCGCGCCGACTTTAAAGGCGCGGACCCCCGCGCCTCTATTGGCTCCCCACCTTTGGGCACCCCCCCCTTTGGGCACCTCCACAATAACATCGCGCCGACCAAGATTACACATTGCAACCGCGTTTTCTCGTGCATCTTTTATCCCAAAATTATAAAATAAATATCATTAGCATCAGCAATGCCTCAGCTTTCTATATATACCGAAGATAAGCTACAAGAAGCTCTCCAAGCTATTCAAAATGGGATGCCTCAGCTACAGGCTAGTCGAAAGTAGGGGGTTCCAAGGACAACCATTCAAGCGCGCCTTAAAGGAGGCCAACCGATGAAAGAGGCACAAGAGCTATATCAGAGGCTTAGTCGAGAGCAAGAGAAACACCTTCGAGATTGGGTTCTTGCCCAAGCCGCCCTTGGGCTCCCTCCAACGCACTATCAGCTTAAGGAATTTGCCGGACGCGTCATCCAAGCTGGTGGAGACCCCCGCCCACTCGGAAAACACTGGGTATCGGGCTTTTTAGCCCGGAATCCAGAGGTCAGGACGATTAAAGGTAAATCTCTTGATTCTGCTCGAATTAACGGTGCCTCTATGGCCCGGATCGAGGAGTGGTTCCAATTGCTTAAGCTGCCGGTAATACAGGCAATTCCACCGGAATTACGCTTCAATATGGACGAGACGGGCATCCTCGAGGGCCTCGGCTGCAACGGCCTTGTGCTAGGGAGCTCAGAGAAGAAAGAGACTATCAAGAAGCGGCTTGGATCGCGTTGTTGGACTACAATAGTCGAATGCGTCTCTGCTACGGGCCAGGCCTTGACCCCCCTTGTGATCTTTAAGCAGGACTCTTAATAGTGTAACCGGTTTCGGAGACTATTAGTCCGAACCGCGGTTTGCACTATTAGTCCGCGGACTAATAGTGCGGTTTGGGTTTTTCGGGTCGAACCGGCGGTCCGGTTCGTGATAGGCAGACCGGACCGGCGGTTCGGTTTAAAGATCCTAAACTAACGGTTACACTATTAGTCTAAGCCATAAAGTGGAGCAGGTGTACTATAACCGGCAAGCATAGTAAAGGTGATCTCTATCTACCTGACTTTTAGGCTGTCGGTTTCTCAATAACTGTCAGAACAACGGGAGCAGGGGTCACGTGCGATAGGGAGATAAGAAGATGACTCATTGCAAAAGAGCCTGAGAGACCCCAAAAAGGGGCCCCGGGGGCGCCCCTGAGTGGGACACACATATATACACACACACACACACACGCAATACACACATCTCTACAAGCCTAAGAGGCCGGCCTTCCCTAATACGATTGATCCACTGCATCACAGTCGTGCCTTTCTGTCGGCGGACCAGGGCTGCCACGTTGGGGAGGGACCTGGAGAAGGGATCCCTGGCCTATGTAGCAGGAACGCATGAAGACTTCCTGAGTAAGGAAGGCTACCCCTTTATGCGTGGACACAGCCAGTAAAGCTCCTTACTCAGGAGGTCCCCAGAAGGCCCTAAGACCTCTTGTATAAATAGCCCCTTCAGACTGCCCCTTTAGAGAGAGAACATGCATCTTGAACCTAGCTGTGTGACCCCCTTATTCCGATGTGTATTGACATAACATTTCACCGACACTTTCCTATTTTGGGATCACCTAGAACCTCTGGTTCTGACAATTAAGAGTCTCAGTCTCTTTCCAGCCAAAAAGAGCCACGGAAGAGGCATTTCAAGCCTACAACCACAACAACAGAAAAACACCACTGCTCCCTCCATACGGAAGCAACCCGATAGCCACTCGAGATCGACTCGAGAAGAACCCGAATACAAGCCGAACTCGACCCGAACTCTAGCAATGTCCCATAAAGAGGACTCGGTCTTCCTCAACACTCCGTACGACTGGATCAACTGGCAGAGCAACTTCGAGGCGAAAGCCATCGACCGGGAGCTCTGGGAATGGATCGACGGCAAGAAGGATCTCATGAAGAGGCCCGAGAGGGTGACTCTTGACCCCGCTCCGGCTCCAACTATAACAGAAGAAAGTCCCGCTGCATCTGCCGCCACTACCTCAACGGAAACGGCATCAGCTACCGTTTTCGCTTCTACTACGAGGCCAGCCTCCGTAGCGGAGAGAGATCGCCGTCTTCGAGAGAAGCAGTTCGAATATACGATCTACCAGTCAGACCTCCGCCTGTTCGAGCAGCAACAGGAAGGCATTCGAGACCTACGCAGCTGGGTCGCCAAGACTATATGCAAGACATACCACAGAACATGCTGCAAGGCGAACCAGTCCATAAAGCAGTGGTACGAGCTTCTTAACATTCATGCAAAAGGGTCCGAGAAGGAGGTGAGGAGAACCCTTCACCAGAAGTACGAGAAGGCTATTACCCCGACCGTAAAGCCGCCTCGCAACTGGACCAATTGGTCCGACATATGGATTAAAGCTATTAACGAGGGACTCGAGGGAGGACTCCCCGAGGCTCTTAACGAGGAAATCTGGCTACGAGACTTCCTTAGGGTCGTCAGACCACATTTCCCCCATTGGGTCGACACGATTACCATCACGAATCCCCAAGACCAACCTAACTTTACAATCCACACGCTAAAGGATCTCTTCCTCGCGTACATTTACAACAATTCGGGCCCCTCTATCATTAAACGAGGAGCTTTTGGCCCGACCTTCAACGCCCGTGGAAACCACCAGCGAGGAAGGGGTGGCAAGAGGCCCAGATCGAAGACCACAGACGACAAGGGAGAAAAATACTGTCGTTTGTGCGAACAGCCCGGCCACCGCCTTGACTTTTGCTGGGGGATCTTCCCGGATAGAGCTGCCGAGTGGTGGAAGCCCTCGGACACAATCAAGGAAAACCTCAAAGACGAGTGCATCGCAGAAGAGGTCAGAAGAGTAAAGGGGAAGCGACAAGAGCAACGCAGAGACGGAGAGAAGCATGAGGATCAGGATTGACTCGTAAGAGCGATAGGAAAGTGCTCTCTAGCTTCTTTCTTCATCGCTCGAGCAGACACAAAGGCAGTCTTTGCCGTTGATGACTACCCTCTATGCCACTCCGCCCTGCTTGACTCCGGGTCTACCATCGACATCTTTAACGAAATTTCTCGCTTTACCCGCTTTAGAAGAGCAACCCCTGGAGACTTCCTTTGGGCAGGAGAAAGCAAGGTGCCAATCCAAGGCTATGGCGACGTGGATGTGGAAGTCGAGGGCCCTAGAGGACCTCGCTTGCTACGTTTAACCGACGCCGCCTACTGTGAAAACTTTGCCTGCAACCTCATCTCCTACAAACACCTAAAAATGCAGGGCATTTGGTGGGACGAATCTCCCGGCCAGCGATCATGCCTTCGAACAGCCGATAGACGCATCCTCGCCTTCGTCCGAGAAGAGCATGGGCAATTCGTGCTGGAGCACATTCCTTACGATGTGTCAAGGAGAGCGTTCTTCACCCGACGCAACAAATTCAGGTCCATCACCAAACGCCACCCACAGACCGCGACCGCAGAGCTCTGGCATCTCCGCCTTGGGCATCCAGGTCCAAGAACCCTGGAGCACCTTGTCAACTGCTCAAGAGGCGTCCGCATCAAAGGCATCACCACCACAGGATGTGATGACTGCGGCACGGCCAAATTGAAACGACAAATTCGAAGGGAGCCACGAGAAACGCCGCCACCAGGCGAGCGTCTGGCAGTCGACTTCCACGATCTCGAGCCTGATCAACAAGACTACAATTCGATGATGTTGATCACTGACAGGGCTACAGGCTTCGCTTGGGACTACTACCTTCAAGACCGCAGAGCAGAGACGATCAACGCCTCTTTAGGCCATGCCATTGATTACCTCCGACACCAATATGGGTTCTCCGTTAAGGTGATTGAGTGTGATAATGAGCTAACCTCCCAGAAGCCGGCAGTCACAAACTTCCTCTTGCAGAAGCTTCTTAAGGTCGAGCCCTCAGCTCCCTACACGCAAGCGCAGAACGGAGGGGCCGAGCGCTCGGGGGGTGTGATCAAAGACAAAGCCCGCGCGATGAGAGGAGAATTGCCTACTCAATTGTGGAGAGAGATCTACAGAGCCGCAGTCTACCTCAACAACCGCACGCCAAAAAGCGGCCAGAAATGGAAATCTCCCTACGAGAACGTCACAGGCAAGAAGCCTCCGCTGGAGCATCTCCGCGCGTATGGCTGCAAGGCCTTCGCGATGACTACAACCGCCCAAAAGAAAGCAGAGCGCTTGAAGAAGCTCAACCCACGAGCCTGGATAGGCTATCTAGTCGGCTATACGTCTTCGAACGTGTACAGAGTCTGGGTTCCCACAGAGAACAAGGTGATCTCGACGAGAGACGTGATGTTCGATGAAAGGCAGCTGTTTGATGGAACATTCCAGACGCTAGCCCAAGATGTCAAAGACGCAGACCTCGGAGAGCTCGCAGAAGCCCTAAGACAAATCACCCTGCCCGAAGAAGAAGAGATTCCTTCGCTCACATCCACACAGGCCCCAGACGAGCCGCTCTTCGAGCTCAACGACGATGCCAACGACGAGCAGGTGCAAGAGCTTGAAAGAAAGCCAGCCAGCGGGAAGAGTGATGGACAATACACAACAGCATGCTTCGAGCTGCTGCCAACGCCGCCACAGACTCCCCCGGTCGCCCTGCTCGCGGCGTCGATCCAACAAGCCAGCCACGTGTGGAACAAGCCTTTATCGCGAGATCCTGGAAACGGACTCGTTGATTCAAGCACTGTGATCAGAGACATGACACAGGAGCCGCCTACTAGCACTGCGTTCGCGCAGGAGCCGCCTTCTAGCACTGCGTTCACGCAGGAGCCGCCTTCTAGCACTGCGTTCGCGCAGGAGCCGCCCTCTCGAGGTCTTGGAAATAGTCTCGAAGAGGTATGGACCGTGGCGTTAGCCCGGGAACCGCCCTGGACCGAGGCTTCGGCCCGGGAACCGCTTGGCACTGCTATCACGCAGGAGTCGCCTTCGCGAGACCCTGAAAATGGGCTCGACGATTCAAGCACTGCGTTCACGCAGGAGCCGCCTTCAAGCACTGTGATCAGAGACCTGACACAGGAGCCGCAAAACGCCGCGTTTGGAATCCCCACCAGACACCGTGTGCCCTCACAAGGCCTCGGAACACAAACCGCCTCCCAGGCAACTCCTACGAGAGCAGCTCCCATGAGAGAGCCCTGGGCTTCCGCCTTTATGGCAGGAACAATCGCAAGCCCGATGCTGAAAAGCTCAGGCAACAAGCCGCGAGATCGAGCCTGGCTCCAAAGAATGACCTTCAAGAAGCAACTCAACCGCAAAGACCTGCCGCCACCTCCAAAGGCGCATCACAACTTGAGAGACCACACGTTCCGTTGGCTATTCGAGGAAGCAGAGAGGGACCACCTGGCGAGTCATAAGCAAATGAACTCATGGGCAGAAATGTCCTTTGGCAATGTGCCCCAGGGTGCCCAAGTGCTGGACTGCATGTGGGTTTACATCTACAAGTTCGATAAGCACGGTAGGCTCCTCAAATGCAAAGCAAGACTCGTGGTACGAGGTGATCAACAGCTCCGAAATGGGCAAGACACCTACGCAGCCACCCTCGCTGGAAGAAGCTTCAGAACGCTGATGACAATCGCGGCACGCTTCGACCTCGAGCTGATTCAATACGACGCGGTCAACGCGTTCGTCAATGCTAAACTTGATGACCAGGTGTTCATGAAAATGCCACCGGGGCATAAGAAGCGCGGCATCGTCCTGCAACTACAAAAAGCTCTCTACGGGTTAAGAAAGTCTCCTCTACTGTGGCACCGCGAGTTAACAAGCACACTCACGAAACTTGGCTTCAGGCGGGTCCCACACGAGCCTTGCTGCCTTACCCTCAACGGCATCTTTGTCTTTTTCTACGTGGATGACATCGTATTTGCCTTCCAGAAGGAAAACACCTCTAGGGCGCAAGCCCTAGCCGCACAGCTAGAAACAAGATACAAGCTGACAGGTGGCAACGAGCTGCAATGGTTCCTTGGCATTGAAATTATCCGAGACCGGAAAAAGGGACTCATTTGGCTGTCTCAAGCTTCCTACATCGAGAAGATCGCCCACCTTGCGACTAGCAGGCGAGTATTCAAGACCCCAATGGGCCCAGAGGAGCTCCTCAAATACAACAAGATCGCCACCTACGCTGAGATCAACAGCTACCTGGTGAAGGTGGGATCCGTGCTATACTCAGCCGTCATCACGCGGCCAGACATTGCGTTTATAGCTTCAAAGCTCGCTCAATTCAACGTCAACCCTGGCCCGCTCCACCACAGAGCAGCAGATCGAGCCATCATGTACCTGCTAGAGACCAAGAACCTGGCTCTTTGCCTGGGGGGTGGCAACGACTTCGAGGTGGCGAGTGATGCTTCCTTTGCTGACAATACCGCAGACCGCAAAAGTTCTCAAGCCTATGCGATGAAGCTCTTTGGAGGCCTCATCGGATGGCGAGCGAACAAGCAAGACACTGTCACCACTTCCACCACGGAAGCCGAGCTTCTTGCTCTGTCACAAGCCGCAAAAGAGTCGATCTACGTGAGCCGGCTTATCGAAGAGCTCCAGGTCTCCCTCGACGCCTCGAGCATACAAATCCAGTGTGACAACGTCCAGACCATACGCCTCGTCACCGCCGAGATCGCCGCGCTACAAACACGCCTTCGTCACGTCGACATTCATAACCATTGGCTTCGCCAAGAGGTGTCGAACGGCACGATCGACGTACTATACACACCGAGCGCAGAGCTGATGGCGGATGGCCTCACCAAGGCGCTTCAAGGCGACAGATTCGACGCATTTGTGGTCCAAATCGGTCTAGAGGACATCACCGAGCAATTCAAAGCGCGAGTCCTACCCGAAGCCGACGAAGCCGAGCTCCAAGAGCAACTACACGCACGATGGGATGAGGATGACGCAGAACAAGAGGCGAAATCAACCCAAATTCGGGCTGAAGAGCCCTCGATTTGAACCTCAACACCAGACGCACCCGCTACAGTCGCTGCACCACCGCGAGCTGTTGAGCTGGACCCGACCGGAATATCTGACTGTTCCGCCCCGATTGTTGAAACTTTGGCAAAGACCCCGTATTTAAGCTATTTGAGCCCGTTGAAGGAATTGGGCCAGCTTCCCTCGCGTTGCGAGCTTAGCTGGGGGGGTGTGTCAGAACAACGGGAGCAGGGGTCACGTGCGATAGGGAGATAAGAAGATGACTCATTGCAAAAGAGCCTGAGAGACCCCAAAAAGGGGCCCCGGGGGCGCCCCTGAGTGGGACACACATATATACACACACACACACACACGCAATACACACATCTCTACAAGCCTAAGAGGCCGGCCTTCCCTAATACGATTGATCCACTGCATCACAGTCGTGCCTTTCCTATTTTGGGATCACCTAGAACCTCTGGTTCTGACAATAACCTACGACGATATATATACCGGAGAGATGCCTTTAGATATCAGACACCTTAAGCGCGAGACTTGCGAGTTTCTAAAAGCTAGTGCTGACCACGGAGGCGTCTAAAAAGAAAAAAATATGCCATTAGGCGCAGAATAAAGTATATAGGGTAGTTTGGTTTAAGCCTTAATTAACCAGCATCTTAAGCCACTCGTTACGGGAAATTTTCTTAAAAGAATCGCTTTTGCTTTTAAGCGGTCGCGACCAATATGTCACAACATATGCACGAAACAGACGCGTATCTATAATCTAGGTCTTAGAACTTTAAATCCTAGAGATGAAGTCTCCATCGTGACCAGATCCGCGACATAATTCGTTCGTGTACAGGCTGGCAAACCACTCAATCCTGGCAACCGGTTGCTTAATTCAGTTGAGCAACTGGCAACTCAATCAACGCAATCCTTCGTCGGCTGATTAAGCCGGCAATTCAATTCGATCTCGCGTTGATTGACGGAATTGCTGTTGACGGTGAAAAAATGTGTAGGGTAGTTGACCAGTGTGGATTATGAAATCACTCAAGCCAAAGCATCAGCAGCTCAGGGGCAGATTGACAATTGGGCCAATCATCCATTGTGACAAGGGTCCCTTGCTGTTATGAATTCGGCGCGCTCGTGTCTGACTACGCGTTCATGACAAAGGGGGAAAGTGACTCAATCATGGTGCCAGAATCGGGATGTTTGTAACGCCTCTCATATCATCCCACTCTTCTCTTAGATGGGCGACTCTCTCGATTCTTTGCCTTCTGCAGGCCCTCAAGGCAGTCGAGAATGGGAAATATTTCCATGGCAGCACTTTTGCGGCTATACCATATCCCAACGCGCCGGCAAGCTCAAGTCGTGGATTTGGCGCTTTGGGTTTGACATTGAGCATCAAGACAATGGGGACAATAGGCTGTGGGTATGCGGGACCTGTTTGGTCAAGAAATCGCCCCAAGGACCCCCAAGCTTTGCAGCGAAGGGAACGACAAATATCGAGCGCCATCTGCACGATGCGCATCGTATTTCTGGGCCGTTGGGAAAACGGTCTCGCGAAGATGAGAGCAAAAGTGGGCATAGAAGTGGATAAAGGGACTTTTCGAAGGTCGAGTATCATATGATCAGATGGTATGCGAGAATGCATGTGTTGATTGCTCTGCCCCCGGTTGCCCTTTTCCCGTCCAAACAGCCCCTTTGTATCCCTCCAAGCTTCTCCCAAGTTGATATCCCGTTTTCAGGTATAGTATACATTCTATCAGAAAGAGGGCACTTCTTGCCACTTACTGAAGGCCACGTAAGTCATCTACGTCAGCAACATCAGCTCCATCTCCCCGATCAAATAGTTCTTCTAGCTATTAGATAGATAGTTCAGTCTCTCGAGGTCCCCGAGCCAGTAATAGTTATGCCGGACTCCTCAAAAGGTCCCCGTTCGAATAGGAGATCCTCCGGACCCCTCAGTGGTCTAGGAAGAAGAAAGAACAGTCTGCAGACTTCCCTTCTTACCTGGTTTCAAGCTGTATTACCTAGAGAGACCTAGAGACCTCAACTCGTTCGGACCTTCTTCTCGACAATAATCATCTGAGGGAGGGAGAGGAAGATTACGCGGCTGAATGGGAATTTCGCGTGCAACGTTCACACAGACCAGAGCGCCCTGTAAAAATATTTAACTCCCGAAAAGTAGAAATCAGTCAATTCTCTATCTGCTCCAGGTAACGGCTTGCGAGTATATTCAAAGTTCGCTGGAATTGGTGTAAGTGAAATGGTAGACTTTTGGTGGAGCTTTTTTCAATTACGCTACCGAAAGAGGGGTGTTACCGAAAGAGGGGTGGGGGATGGTACCTTTGTTGCCTTTGACCATGCTGAGAGTTGGACTGGCAAGGTGGCGTTGGAGAGTGTGACAACGGAAGCCGATGGAGGAGCAACTTTTCTTAGGCGACCTATCACCAGACCTGCAAGGCCGTGCCCATGTACCTATGTATGTACATGTCTGCGGCTCTAGCCTAAGGATGAAAGGCGGCACGATGCAGAAGGTACGGCCAAACGCGCGATCGAGGCGCACATATATATAAGACATTGCCAATATTCTGCTTGTTACCGTTCTTAGCCACCTTATGAGTATACGACTTTTCTACCTCATTACGGAACTGCGCGTCCGTCAGGCTGTCGAGGGCCCAGATCGAGGCAGATTCCGCGCCACATGGAGCCGGCGCCGCGGTTCTCGCCCGCCGGCAGCAGCCGCACGTGCTGGCCTTCGCGGTTAATGCCGGCCTTGACGCGGGCTGGGTGGTCGAGGCCCAGGAGGCCATCGGGCGGCCACTCGTCGTCTTCTTGGGCGGGTTCGTCTCGGGACTAGTGGGCCGCACTCGGTTCCTTGCTGCGGCGGCGGCGGCATCGGGGGCAGTCCCGGGCTTAGACACATGTTGTAGCCCGCGAGCATATCGCGGCTTATGTGGCATTTCCGGATTGAGAAGCTTCAGCTCTTGCCTAGGATGACGGTTTGTCTCCTTCTTTTGTTTCCTGGCTTCCGTTACCGTTCGTTTTCTTTCTATTTCCGCCTCTCTTTGTCTCCTCTTCTCTAGAACGAGAGCTTTTGCTCCGCAGCATTCTGCTACCGCTGAACCTTTTGTGTCTCCTTCTTAATAGCCTCCTCTTTAGGTTAGATGCCTTTCACTGCCATTTTTAGGCGAACTTGAGCCACTTTTGCGGTGCTAAATGCCTTGTCTACGCCAGGATCTGTTCGGTCGAAGAGATCACGTTTTGGAGCCTTACCGCACTGCCTGCGGTTGTAAGCCCGCCTCCAGAGTCCAGACTGACACTCCTGGGACAAGACCATTGGTTCCAAAAGCTGGCAATAACGGACAAAGTTCTGGAATTTTCATGGTCCTGTGGCCTGATAAATGGCCTGATTAAATGGCCTGGGTAATAAGTTTGCGACGCCATCAAGGCACACAGGTCCCTACACCTCAAAGGCAACGTCCTGCACCGAGACGTGTCCGAGAACAACATTATCATAACCGACCGCAAAACGACTGGCCACATGGGCATGCTGATCGACTTGGACCTTGCCAAGGAGCTGGGCAGCGGGCGCAGCGGGGCGCGCTGTCGCACTGGCACGATGGAGTTCATGGCAATTGAGGTTCTGCAAGGGATCTCTCACATTTACCGGCACGGTCTAGAGTCGTTCTTCTATGTGCTCCTCTGGCTGTGTGGTCGTCGAGGTTGGGAATTACTGCGCAACCAGAAGGAGCAGCCTACGCCAAGTCTGTTGACTAAGTGGTACACTGGCAGCTATCGAGAGATTGCGAGCGCCAAACGAGGGCATATGCACGTTGATGGATTTGAGGACATCTTGGAGGAATTTCCGCAACCGGAGTTCGACTGTGTCAAGCCTCTTTGCAAAGACTTGCGGGGGATCTTGTTCCCTTACAGGGACGGGCTCTTGGTCGGGACACCGAAGGATCCTGAGATTCTCTAAGTCCCTGCACATAGAAATGGGCACCCCCCTGTTTTGGGCACCCAAGATGGGTGCCCAACCTAAACGGCTGCGTCAACTTCAACAGCAAATTTCACCGCGGAAACGCATCCAATCTGCTAAAAATTGACGCATGTGTCTTCAAGCCACTACTGATGAAATATACAGAGTCTGACATTCACAGCGCCCTTGAGGCAATCGCCAATGGCGGATCCGCCAAGAAGGCTGCTCGCGATTGGGGCGTCCTGAGGCAACTCTTTACAATCGCATGCATGGTCACGAATGCAGAAAGGATGCATTTTCTGCTCTTCAGAGGCTTTCAGACACAGGAAAAGCAACTTACCGAATGGATTCTCATTCAGGACGCCTTGGGCCTTCCTCCCACTCACTCGCAGATCAGGCAGTTCGCGCAGCGCATGCTCGCCGTCAAAGGAGACCACACACCGCTCGGAAAACACTGGATGCAAGCATTTTTAAGACGAAATCCTGCAGTTCGGACCCAGAAGTGCCATCACAGAGACTCTGCGCGTGTCAACGGCGCTTCTACCGAGGTAATTCGGCCTTGGTTCAACAATTTCTTCCTTCCCGAGATTCTGGCTATTAAGCCGGAGAACAGGTACAACATGGATGAAGCAGGCATCATGGAAGGACTTGGGGAGAATGGCCTGGTCGTTGGCAGTGCTGAAAAACGATCTGTACAAAAGAAGACGCCTGGTTCTCGGGTCTGGACGTCGTTCATCGAGTGCGTGTCCGCTGCCGGCACCTTCCTCCCTCCACTCGTCATTTTCAAGGGCAAATCGGTCCAGCAACAGTGGTTCCCAGAAGATCTCAGTACTTTTAGTGACTGGCAATTCACTGCGACAAAGAACGGCTGGACTTCGGACCAAACTGCGGTGGAGTGGCTCGAAAAGGTGTTCATTCCAAGAACCCAGCCACCCGACCCTTCGGAGCGAAGACTGCTAGTATTGGACGGCCACGGAAGTCACGAGACGGTTGACTTCATGTATCTATGCTACCAGCATCAGATTCACCTTCTTTCTTACCTCCCCATACCTCTCATGTGCTGCAACCGCTCGATTTGTCTGTCTTCTCGCTCTTAAGCACTACTACCGCAAACAGGTCGGATTTCTCAGCCTCCTGACCGATTCAAGCCCAGTCGGCAAGCAAAACTTTCTTTCCTGCTACCAGAAAGCACGCGAGCAAGCGCTCACTGTGTCAAACATCAAGGGTGGCTGGAAAGCGACGGGTTTGTGGCCGGTGTCGATGGCGAAGCCACTTTGAGCCCTCTTCTGCTGGAGAACAGCAACAGACGCAAAAGAACGCGAAAAATGTGGCCAATGCATTCAATAGCCACTTACCCACCAGTGACTGGCAATCAGACACATCCCAGATTGCGTGGTCGACCCCGAGGCGCTCGCAAGATCTGAAGGTTCAGGTAGTTCAATTCAACCAGCTAGACGACGACGTGCCCACGAAGAGATTGCTGTTCAGGAAGATCACAAAAAGGGTTTGACGAGAAGGATGGCCTTTTAGCAAAAGCTCAATTGCAGATTCAGGCACTGGAAACACAATTGGCGGCCGTCAAGCCGAAAAAGGAAGAGGGTGGTCACGAGCCCGAATTCGAGGTTCGCCAATATTGAGGCAATACGACGGGCGCAGGAGGAGGTGAACGCAGCTGAGAATGAAGAATCTGATGAAACCGAAGCTGAGGTTTCAGAAATAGGTGACGATTGTATCGTAGTGCACGGTGGTGGGCAGTGAGAAGGGATTGAATTAATGGTGTTGAAAATGGTCGTGATTTTTTTGGGGTGCCCAAAACAGGGGGGTGCCCATTTCTATGTGCAGGGACTTATAGGCCAATCATCGAAGCATTTGACAAGTCTATTAATGATATCAAGACGTCGAAAGGATAAGATGGTGTCTACTATTTTCTACATATTGCGATACACCTGCTAATACATGATGGCTCCTCGATTTCGAGGTTTTGCTAACCAAGCAGGTGGTGCTGTTCACGTTTCTGCATCTATATGATCGCAAGCGATCATGCAGGACAGCCACGGCTCCGAGGCACACCGCCCAGTCGACCTGCTTTTCCACAAGCAGGTCCCTCGCCTCTCAGTCTGAGCCTCGTATAGCCCATCCAGTTTTCACCCGGACAATCTGCGGTATGCGTTCTATCCCTAGATCGAGGGTCTTAGCCACATGAATTCTAATGGCATGTCCCCGGTAGCCCCATGCTGGGGACTGGTCGTCGAGCTGCACGAAGACACGCAATGGCGATACGGGCAAAGCGATGCTCCAGAGGGTGCTGGAGGTGTTGGGAAAAATGGGCGGTGAGATTGGAAGATTGAAGAATGCGATACACGAACAGGGCGACACCATTCGCGCCCAGGAAAGCTTGATCCGAGAGCTCCAGCTTCAAAGCAAGGATTCGCGCGAGGAGTTTGGTCGTGAGAGCAAGGATTCGCGAGAAGAGCTTCAGCACACAAAGGAGGAGCTCAGACAGATTCGAGCAGCTCGAAGCGTTAATACCGCAACAAAGTCGGTCAACAACAGCTCTTGAGCCTTGTATGCGGGTGTTGCCCGATGAGCACCTTCGAATCTACCAGCGACATATGCTGCGCATAAACACGGACGTCATTACGTTCGTTCAGCCATACACTCTACTGCACAATCGACAAGTCACGAGTCGAAGACCAGAATAGAGGCAGAGCACAAAGTCAGATCCGGCGAGCCATTGAGGGCGAAATGAGGGCAAAGGGGGGCTATGAAGCATGGAGATGCGCGGCAGTCGCGAAAGATGTGCGGAATGCAGAACTTGTCAAGATTTGGTGCAGAGACGGAACCGAACTGCAGAGGGTCAAAAACGCCGTGCAGAAGACGCTGGTCGTGGAGCACGGGTCATGGGACACCGAGAATAGGCATCCAGACGACCCAGACTTTCAGGTGGTATCACCCAGCCCGCATGCCCTGAATATCTAGTCGCTTCGGGCTCATCAGTTTCTCGTCCATCCCTGAGTCCTCTCTCGAAGGACGACCATGCCAATCCAAAAGATATCGACTCTTGCCTGCTTTGGTCACGAGAGCTCCACGCTTATCCAGCTCCGGACGGGGAAGATAGGTCTTAACAGCTTTCTCTATCATAAGAACGTGTCCAGCGCGACGACACCCCTCTGCCGGTGCGGTGTCGGGGAAGAAACAGTGTTTCACGTCTTCCTCCGCTGCCCCCTACAAGCTGACAACCGCAGGCTCCTCCCAGCCGCCCTCCGCACTGACGCCGACCTCCGCGCGCTTCTTATGCGACCCGACACAGCCCCATCCCTCGTCCGATTGTTTCTCAACTTTCGGCCGATACCCCACTACAAGGTAGCAGCAGATCTCGCAAGAAGCTGGTCTGCCCCACGAGCGGATGGAGAGTAGAAAGAGAGAACACGGTAGCCCCAATGGCGTCAATCGCGCCCCGTGGGCGACTGACCGAACACCAGCGAGAAGAAATTCCTGAGAAAGGAGATATAAGCGGGATAGAGTTCTCCGTCGCGCCGCACGCGGGTTGACGGCTATTCGGGTATAATGCGCCTACGGGACCTTAAGCCCCGGCTCAGTTTGGGACGGAGGTCCCCCACCTGCACCAGGCTGGCGGCTGCGACCGATCATGCTTAACATCGCGACAACGGCCACCCGCGGGCCGAGGCAGATGAGAAGGTTGTATATAGGTCTTCCTCCCGGACCACCGGGTTTTTCCTATATTGGTAACGGGTAGAGGCTCTGGATCTATAGGCTAGCTAGTGTAATAAACTACTTGTCACGTAATTGGCGTCACATCAGGGAGGTTTCCACAACGATCAAGAAGAAGAGTACACCACGAAGAGGCCAATTGACTGATGAGAGTAATCTGAGAATTATCTAAAGAACAAAGGGGAAGAAACGAATGCACACACGGTATACGGTGTTTTTATGTTCGCCGTGCACGGACCCCTGCGATAGTTGGCACAACAACTATCGCGTAGCCGTTGGACGTGACACTACTGCTACGTTGCCTGCTTTGGTTCGAGAACCCTGTCTTAAGGAGGATGAGCAAAAGCTGGCGCATAGATCAGGGACTGGATAACTTTTAATTTCTATCTAAAGAATAGAAGTTTATCTCTGTTACATACGTCGATAGAAAAAGCAATGGTGCTGCTGCCGTGTCAGCCTGCTAGGCAGCAAGCATCATTGTGAATGAGCGTTCTGCTCTTAACATTAAGACGGCTATGGAACTCCGAGAACCCATCCCGATCCGACGGAAAATCAAAGCCCCGCCCTCATTTCTTTCTACATACTTCATCCTTCGCCCGGATTTCCATGAAACGTATCCTTTTTTAATGTGGTATTGCTGGTAACGTCGCACCCAAGTAATATTGGGGCAGGGCGCCACGCTACAGGTAGAAATTTTGACAAGTTTACGGCAGCGGCACGAGTCACATGTCAGATCGGGCTGAGGGGTAATGAGGGATTTATTTACCCGACAGACGAATCGAACCGATTCACAGACGGAGCTATACAACTCTCCTCTGTAAAAATTCTTCCCCCGGAAGAGCTGTTAGTGGCTCGCTAACAGGGGGCCGAATTTGCAGGCCACCCGACCGCGCTTTTGCTGCCCGGGTCCATCGTGGCCCTAACAGCACAGGGGAAGACCTTAGGAGAGTTCATATTCCTCTGCAAAGCCGGTCTCGACAACACGTCCACTCGGACCTCACAGCTTCCTTCGGAACCAAGGAGCTGTGGGTATTGGAATGCCCGCCATTCTAAACAACGGTGGCTGGTTGCGCAGGTTTTTCTGCGTGAAGGCAAGCTGCACGACAGCCTCTGATTCCTTCGAGGGTTTTTCCCTGCCGCCGCTCCTGCGCTATTTCCATCGTCTGGTTACTGAGGCATGGACTGCGACAGCAGCGTTAGCGAGAGAGCGAGAGAACTCTGACCGGACAAAACCAAGGGTTGACCATTGTGGCAATCGCCACGCGCCT